ATACGAGAAATGCCCTGGTCCCAGTTTATGGCAGAAATTGCCGACAGACCCCTTTGTGTTGTGCCAAAACATACCCCAGCGGATAGCAGCACCCATGAGGCGATGGCGGAACTTGTACCTATAAACTACAATCTTAGGAGACTCCTAAACATTAGAGTGGAATCCGTTCACATGACCTGAAATCAGGAAGCATCCACCATATCGGAACCAAAGTCGGGCGCTAAGGGTCACCTCTAAGCTCTTTAGAGATAAATGCCGTTCACAAAACGGATATGAAACCTCTCCGATCGGCTTGAAGAGGAAGCGAATGATCTGATGATGCGATTTAAAATAATGTTCCCTTTAAATGGACGTAAATCATCGCTGTTACCGTTGAAAGTATGTTCGCAAGCACATTTAAATCGTTGTAATAAGCTCTCGGCCAGTAGAACAGCAGAGTTGTCGTTAATTTTGCAGTTTAGTTCTCGCCGATAACCAAAGGGATTGAAGGTTAAGGGTTGTCGACTGTAAGAACTTTTTGGTGGGGAAAAGACATTTTCCCAATGTTTTGCTGAGTTTTGTATGTAAGGATGGGCATAGTTACGTTTGTAAAAGAGAAAGGTCACGAGTCTATTTTTATACATTTCCTTTGGACATGAGCAGGAAAAAAAGGAGCGAAACAATTTGCTTTCCAACATCATTGTATCGAGCCAGTGGTGGAATGAGGAAACATTTTGTTGTCGTGTCTGGTGTTTCCTTTGCCAATAAGTTGCCGTAACTTAAAAGTGAAAGATAGCAAGAAAATGAAAAATTAAAAAAATAGTTTTTATTTGTAACTGATGAAGTAGCATGTTCTTGATGGAGCTGCCAACATCTTTAGCGCATTCAGGGAAATGTTTCGCAGGCTACAATGATAAACTGTAAATTTGCCATTTGTCAAGAATTTCTTATTTTGCGTTCATTACAACTCTCCATTTGGACTGTCGTTTTGCGTTTGGTTATGGTGTATTCCTTAGAAATCTTGCATCATTTACATCCGTTGACGCTTCACCATTAACCATTTAACCCCTAAGAGTGATTAGCATCTAATTTCTCCTTACAGTATCCCCACTGAATCACACATCAAGGTCATGAGAATTAAAGAAATGATCGTCAACTGAAGAAGCTCTTGATTGTTAAACAAATTCTCCTTGTCAGCACTTTAGAAAATGTATAGAAAACAGTGTGGAGAAAATACATACTGATTTTATGGTGTAAGGGGTTAACGTCACCTTTGTCTCTCATTTTGTTTCCGTGTTTCTCATGGCACTTCCTCTTATGATATACATTTAATTTTTTGTGCCCGATTAGCATTTTTATATCCACCTTCATGTTTTCTTCTTCCCTTCCTACTTGTGTCTTTTCCGCAGTGATTATAACCCTCGGGAACCTGGGTGTGAGGAAGCTAAAACTCAGATATGCTGAGCGCAAAATATGGGACATCCCCCACACAGTAATATTTGTCATTATTTACGTCTGTAACAACCTTGATAAAATTGATCGTGTCGTGAACGTTTTCTTCGACTGCTTGGAAATCTCGAGGAACGATGAACTTTGGTGAATTCGTGTCTTTCCATGTACAGCGGAACCTTGGCCAAAGTCAGAAACCGCGGGGGAGTCATCGGTTCAAAAAATTGCGAATAATGATGATCACATTGGCTGCAATCACTTTGCGTCCTTTAAAACAGACCTCGAGCAGAGCTCATGAAATGCCATCGGATGCCCTTTTAGTTTGTAATTGGGAGAGCTGCTTGGAATATTACTTTGTTAGCGCCGTTAGAATTTGGACGTAATGAAACATGATGACGATCCACATTTTTTTTTCAAATGTCTTTTGTAAACAACTGAACATAACTAAAATACATCGTGTTTTCTTTATGACACAGAAGTTTACTTTACATTGATTCATTCAATTTGACTTCGCATCAAGGTCCAGATCTATTAAATTACAAAATTGTCAGTTCTTGGCTACCTCTAAATTTAGGCAGCCAGTTTCACGCATTCGTACGCGAATAAATTGACTGGTGTGGAGTGTTAATAAATCTAAAATGTTTACCTCGCTGCCTTGGAACTTGGGAAATTGAACGAAAATTGTAGAGGTGCAGCTTTGTTTTATCAGCTGCAACCGAAATTATTGTTTTTCATTTCCAATTTTTAATAACTTTTTTTAAGGATGCTGAAATAATTGAGCTTTAATATGTTACTAGACAGATAGATGGCATTTGGGATCGTGTTGCTGTTGGAATATTGACAATCGTTGGGAAAGTTTTTTGGAATCGTAGGCGTTTTTTGTTTATTAAACTAATGGTTCGCTGCAACTGCGAATTTTAGTCTAAGATAGCTAAATCTTAATTTTTCTCTCACACAAACAAGTCAACTGACATGGATGGACATTGTCAAGACTGCGAGTCCAAGAAATGTTTCTATGGCTTGGGCAAGCTTCAGTCGATCATCTTCGTCTTCCTTTGCTCCATCTGTGGACTTCTGGCCATAGGAGGAAATTTGACACTTCTGGTGATTTTTCGTTATTGTGGAACGGTCCGGGAAAAAATGAATAACACTTTTGTTGTCTCGTTGGCTGTGGCTGATCTGATGATAGGATTAACGATTATACCGTTATACATATGCTACGGGGTCGCTTTTGAACCGCGATGGCTCGTCAAGCTCGAAGGCTTTCTTTGGATTGTGACAACTTCGGCCACGACGCATAGCTTAAGTGCTGTGAGCATTGACCGGCTGATATCCGTTATTTATCCACTGCGCTATCATCAGATTATAACTAGGAAACGTTGCACTGTGAGCATCTTACTCATTTGGTTGGGATCTGTCATATTTGGTTCACCAAGACTATTCATTAATGACTTCCGAAAACTAGAAAAGTTATGGATTGCTTGCTCTATTGCAACTGTAGCAGTTCCCTTGCTCTTCATGTGCTATAGCTACGGGAGAATTTTTACCATCGTTAGAGAAAAAAATGGCGATATCATCAACAATCCTAATGCCCTAAGGGAAGGTTTGGTCAACAAAAAGGCTGCAGTAACCATCGGAATAATAGTTTGTCTCTTTATTGTGACTTTCACGCCGAGCGCTGTTGTTTATTTTTTGCTTCTATTTGAGGATGATGTCTGCACGGAGTATGAACTCAACAACTCATGGCTGTGGGTCGCGCTGGTATCGTTCTACCACTCTGCTTTCAATCCGTGGGTTTATGGATTCAGACATGGAGAGTTACGAAAAGATTTTAAAAAATTGTTTGGCAAAAAGTGCAAGGCTTTTTGGTGAATAAAAATAAGCTAGTTTCTATCATTACGTGCGGTCAGCAATATAGGAGTCCTGGGAAAGACTGTCATTCATAACCGATGTTTCCGCCGCATCTGAACCTTGTGTTATTTTCGAAGATTGACGCCAAGGCTTTCAAACTGTCTACATGTCAGCCACAGGGAAGTTCAGTTTTCGAACAATACTGGTTTGTAAATAAAAATACTTTTTTCAAAATCTGACTTAGATTCTTGAGGAACAAATGTGTACCCCTCAGCTAGAAAACTTTCCTATGAGAAATTGATGTATGTGTTTAGATTGTCTTAAAGTCTTGAATATTTCATGATCACATCTTGCCTATAAGTAATTTGACACCACTTTTCCTTGCGGCTCCCACTGGGTTTACGGCTATATCAATTATGTACCTACTCAACCGAAACAGTTTTTGAAAACACTCTTGGAAAGAGACTGTCATGTTGGTACTCTTGATTTGTTTAGATGGTGATGACTGCATAAGGGAAATTAAATAAGCTGTTACTAATTGTTCCATAGCAAGGCACGGTCCTAAAAGAAATGCCCAGTAGTCAGAAATTTTCACCAAATTTCTTCAAAAAGGTTCAAGCGATTCCGAATATTAGAAACACCTTATGATGACAACTTCATTTCATTTGTAATGATCGGCGACAGTAAATATACTGAGTAAATATACTCGCAGAATTGTTGTACATTGTGTGTTTTCAATATCACTAGTCTGAAACCACATTTCCATAGTTTGTTTGCAAATTCATAGTGTATTAAAATTATGATCTCAACCTTTTTTTTCCATTGTTCAGCAATATCCTGAGCATAACTGAAAACATTTTGATTAAGGTGCTGCCAGCTTGTTAATGACAAATGGATATGATGTAAAACTCCTTATTGATTTATCTAACTTTAAACTAAATCCTGCTGGGGAGAAAAGTTTATTTCAATACCGGATATTAAGAGGGTGTAGTCTAATGAGGAAAAGACTTACTTGTGTTAAGACGTCTTCCGCAAGGCATTTTCCAAATAAAACATGGAAAGTCACCATTAAATCGTAGTTAAGTTTCTTCATTCCTTTTATCGCATTGCAAAGCACGTAAGTGTCCGTCAGCCACCAGATAAAATTTTCATACCAGATCAGGAGAATTGTGTGTATTCATGTCATGGCTCAGTCGGTGGACACTGACTCTTCGCTGCTTTCTATATTCCGTCTTTTATTCAACGATCAACTATATATTGACTAAACTCATTATTATTACAGTCATCGTACTTGATAATCTTAGAGTTTATGTTGAGACAAGGAAAATCCTCTTAAACGTGAAAATTACGTAACATCAAGTTCGAGATAAGGGAAACACGGCTTCCTTTTCTTTACCTAAAATAGTTCACTTTCTATTTCTGTTCATGAAAAACTAGCTCAGTTGATGAAACCGAATTCTCTTCTAATGAAGGTGACAGTTGTTTAACGAGGACACTGCTGGAAGTCTGCCAAACGTTTATTAAAATGAAACAAAATGCAATTCTTAATTAAGGAACAACTTGTAATGATCTCGTTCATTTCAATTTGTGCCAGAACAAAACATTTTTTGATAGAAGAGTATTTATTAGATCATGGTAACAGTTATGTCTTCATGCTAAGATAATATTTGATATAGATGGGTTTATATTTTTTCAGTAGCATCTCAGTGCAAATAGACATCTTTGGCGATGCAACACAACAATCATTATAATTACTTTATAATCTATTTGCATACAAAAACAAACAGAACTGTAGTCCATGATTGTTAGCTAAATGTGACTATTCACGAAAGAGTGCCTTAAAGAGTTTCGCATTTCTTCATATCGAAGTCCATAAACCCAAGGATTGAATGCAGAATGGGTGAATGATACAAATGCCACCCAAATCCACGCATGATTCAGTATCATCTGCTGGCAAAAATCACTTTCGAATAAAAGCAAAAAATACACAACAGCGCTTGGAGTAAATGTTACGATAAACATACTGACAATTATTCCAATTGTCTTAACGGCCTTCTTATTTCTAACACCTGCTGTCGACAACCTGGAGGGGGCTAAAGCTCGATTCTGTTTGTGTACAACACAAAAGATTTTACCGTAGCACAAGCACAATATTATCAAAGGAATAGCTACTGTGGTAACAGAACAAGAGATCCAGAGCCTTTCTAACTTTTTATAGTCATCAATAACAAGCCTTGGAAATCCAAAAATAAGGGATCCAAACCAAATCAAGACGATGGCGAGACGGCAACGTTTGTCAGTCATCAATTGATGATAACGTAGAGGATATACGACTGAAATCAGCCTGTCGATACTTACTGCGATCAAGCTGTACGTGGTGGCTGTAACTGTCACGATCCAAAGAAAGGATTCGAGCTTTACAACCCACAAATCAACAGAAACCAGGACGTAGCAAGCATACAGCGGTGTCAGGGTAAGACCGATCATGAAGTCAGCGAATGCAAGTGAACCAATGAAATAGTCATTGACACGGGGGCCAACCATTGACGTGCGGTTGAGAGCTACAAGTAAGGCCAAGTTCCCTCCAACTGCAAGAATACCACATGCGAGAGAGAGAAAGGTGTAACAAATCTTTTCTGCCAGATCGAAGTTTACTCGACACATGCTCAGTTTCTCCAAACTAGTTGCGTTTAGCGAACTGGAAGTATTGTTGTGAGAATGTGTAGTCATCTGTTCTTTTAAAGCGTAACCGATTCCTTCTCGATGAATTTTGTAGGCAGAGAGCCACGCGGAGTCTGAAAGCTCCTACAAATGTGATTGAATGGCTATTACACCTCTCTTACAGCGCTTTTTTAAATGCATTTTCATACTAGAATTGTATATAAATAATTCCTTACATTTGCCAACAAATTAACGCCTTAGGACTTTCAAATAAGTTTGTTGATGATATGCCACTCCTTACCTCCTGGTGATTTCCCCGTTACTGCGCAGGCGTGGAAGTTATTTATCTCCGTCGGATTTCAATAAAAATGTCGACAAATATAAACAGTAATGGGTTTTTGACTCTAATAAGCATTAAGTCCATAGCAAAAACGTCGATAATTGAGCATCCTATCGATCAATAATTGATCGAGCGAGCTTAAAAGAACAAAAGACTCTCTCGATCTTTGAGCCAAAACAAAGACGAAGAAAGACGCTTTGCAGCTTGTACCCGTCAACGTTTCCCTGATAAATACTTAATTTTTTTTTTGTAAGCTTTCTAGAAAGGGTAAAGTTATGGTTGTCCCTTGGCGGTTCGAAAAGATTGTTAAATACTGCTTGCGATGTAGTATGGACAGTCTTTAGTTATTTAAACTTTTTTTTTAGGTCGTTAAGTTACCACTTGGACATTACCAAAGCGTTCTATCAAAGTGATTCTCAGCGATGAAAAGTGCGTGCGAAAGTATATTTTCTCGATTAAATAGGTAGCGTTGATAATTGCTCTCCTACTTAAGATTCATTTTCAAGAGATCCCGTTGCCCTTAACTAGCTTATCTTAACAATATTTGGTTCTCAGTGAGATTAACAGTATGGCGGCAGCTTGTACATGGGTACGAAATTACTTCTCTTCTGTATGAGTAACTCATAGTGATCCGTTGTTTAATAGCATTCACCTGATTTACAGAAGTATTTACGACGCCTTACTGTTTGAAACACAACTCAGTGGAATCATTTGATGTTTAAAAAAAAAAAGGTTTGAATTACTTTGACAGGAAATAGAGCGCTGTGCTTATCGGAGATACATACAATCGCCTGAAAAGTAATTTTCGTCCAAATGACACGAATGCAATTAACGGTTACTGAGAAAGGATGATCGATTTTCCATTGAAAAAACCATACGTGAAAAGTAAAACTATAACTGTGCTTACGACGCTTTTTTTGATGAGATATGTTTGCATTAATGCGTGAACGGTCCGTGTGTCATTCGTCCATTCAATTTTCGTTTAAAATAAAAAAGAAAAAATTGATGTCAATTTTTGATTTTCGTTATTTTTTATCATAAAAAAATACGAAAGTGCCGAATCAAAAATTTTGGACTTTTTTCCTTTTGATAGAATATTGAAACATAACTTATATTTTTACTTTAATCCTGTCAACAATAAAGAGAAAAATGATACTGAGCGGCAATTTTGCTTTTCCGACAATGTTGCAGTCTGTGGCATGGCTTAGTTTTTCTGTTTTCGACGGAAGTCTAAAAATTGAAAAATTGAAAATTGCAATCAATTTACAATTTTTGTTTCTCGGCCAAAACATTCAAAATCGTTGACAGAACTACCCAAGAGGGTGGGGGAGGGATCCATTCGCACGGTAATTCGCGCCCCAAGCGCCCTCCCCTTAGATCCCCTTCCCCACATGCGAATTTTGAGTCCTCATTGGCTGATGATGATGATAATCTTGGTTCTGATTGGTCACTGTGATAACTTTAATTTTGCTTGTCGACATTCATTTGGAAACTGCTTCAATCAGCTGGTACCATAACACATCAGATTGCATCAAGTCAAGCGATTCTCCTTGACAAACTGTAAGGCATCACCATAGCCATTTGCAAATAGTTCAGACAAGTGTCGTTTCCTGGGTGGGTAGAAAACGTGTCTTCCCCTGTTCATGTTTTCTCTGTTAACATAAACGTGCATTTTCCTCCAGTTCAGTTCAGTAAAGACGTACGATTCATCTCGCGGACAGATCTCACTGTTCCCGCCAAATGGTGATACTCTGATGGTCGACCCCGTCGAAGGAATGGGCTGGTTATCAGTAAAACCACCATCATACCAAGCCTATGTAACGTGAAAAGATGGTAGAGTCTGAACACGAGCCGAGCGGCTCATCTATCCAGAAGGCTTACTGGTCTTTCTTTTATTAACCATTTACACCCTAACTTCAGTAAGTATATTCTCCATACCGACCTCTAAGCTTTTCCTAAGGAGCTGTTAAGGAGAATTTGTCTAACAATCACGAACTCATTTAGCTGGCGATCATTTCAGTTATTTTTTTAACCTATTGTGTGTGATTCGGGATGGATATTATGAGGAGAAATTTGATGCTAGTCACTCTTGGGGGTTAAACGATTACAGGAGCGATTGAGAGTTTAATAACTCTTGCAGGATGGAATACCACCCCATCACAGATTACCCCCTGCATCTCTTCAAGTCTTTCCAACAGCTATCTGGCTTCTATTTACACTCGTGGTTGGAGAGAGGAACTGCGAGGGTAAAGTGTCTCACCATGCGCACAACGAAAGGAACCCACCTGGCTTCGAATAGACCTCTCGATGGCAAGTCTAGTAACGCGCTGAAAAGTGGGTCATTGCACAGAGATACGAAATGAAAGCTGACGAGACATCAAGGTACATTATAGCTTTAGTTTTACGAAATCTGGAGCCTTTTAAGGCAACTCCTCCATCCAGCGGTAAACTAACGATCTGCCCCAAGACTGAAACGGGTCTATTAGTCTTCAGCCGGAGGTGAAAATCTAAAACCTATAACATTTTATTCTTCATGTAAATACAGAATCTTTCTGGTCAAGTTAATTCCATTTATACATGTACTATGGCGGACCTTGGCACTAAAGGAGTTAACAAACGAAATTCACAAGGAAGACGAGAACAAGAAGCGACACGCAAGTTGCAGTGATGACTAAAATAATGCTGTATAACTTTAAGATATCAACAACACAAAGAGTGTTGTTTAACATAACATAACAATAAAGTAAACGGCAACCCATTGCCACGACATAAAAAAGATGAATGAACACTAAAATAACAGATTTAGTTCTCACTTCAAATTTATCAAAACTTCTAACCGTAAACCAATAGATTAGAATATTAAACAAGTAATAAAATAAATAACCTTTCATTTATATACTGCATTGTGTAACACACTGTTCTTGGGTTATTGTCTGAGTCATAACATACTGCTCATCCACGGCCGCCTAACTCCAACCATAAAACACTCTAATCAAGGCTTAATTTCCCTGACACCAGTGGTATATGGTGCGTGTAAATAAAAAAAGTCAAACCAACAACCCTCTAAAACAGGCTAAAAACACCAGCATAAAATTTTTGTATGCATTCTTCCCGCACTGTACAGCGACACTTCCTGATCTCCATAACCACACATCGACTAATCCGGCAAGAATTAAAAGGGACTTGGGAATGATAAAAGGATTGAGCCAATATCATTATCGATAGTAATATAATAACAATTATTATCAAAACATCTTCGTTGAGGCATGTGGGCAATATCCCAGATAAGAATAGATTTTCAAAACTCAGGCCAGAGTACCACCAACCTGATCTCAATTGAAAAGTACTGTCTTAAGTAAAAACTATACATCAATTGAATTTCGATTTGGAGGGATACGACAATAAAATGACAACAAAGGTGACAGTCAGTTATTTCAACTAGAACACGGCACTATTCATGAAAATGTTTCATGGGAAGAGTTGGAGAAAGAGGTTTCACTGAATAATTGCACAAGTTCTCCTTTCGCAGAAATCTCAGAGTGTCATTAAAACCTAACTGCACTAAACTCTCAATCCCATCTTTCTTGGGAGGAATAAATATCTGCAACTCTCTCTGAAGATTCTCTCTATTTACGTAGACATTCATATTATGGAAAGTGACGTCAGTAAAACCACGAGACTCGTCTTGTGGGCATATATCATTACCATTACCACTGAATGGAGATACACGTATAGTTCGGCCGAACGGAAGCCTTGGTAAATTATCACTAAGTCCACCGTCTACCCATTTCTGCAGAGAAAACGAGATACATGCAGAGGTTACCTGTATAAACCTTGGGATAAAACCTTACCCTTTGTCACACGGCGGGAGAAGTGGTATCGTGGTACAGTAGTAGAGTCTTAATTAACTCTTTTAAACCCTGAGAGTGACTAATATCTAATTTCTCTTTACTGTAGCACTGTTAAATCAAACATTAATGTTATGAGAA